AAGATCTAAGAGAGCTTGAAACTTGGAGCTAATATCTGTGTATCACCAAGGTTCTCTTTTTATGTATTGATTTTGACCTTAACATGAAGTTGAGACCATGAGAGTATCTTTATATAGTTCTTGTTTATCAATTGTCTAATTAACATTAAGTTTTTTTTGACTATTTTGTGTTTTATATTATTGAACCATTGATTGTCAAAATGTTATTTTATTGTATCTCCAAGTTTTTGAGGAATTGTTATTTCTGGTGATGTATTGAATTGAATTTCAATTTTCCTGAGTTTCCAAATAATATCATGTGTTAAATTAGTACTAGTAGACAGAATTTTATTATGAATATGATGTGTGACCGATAAAGGTAACTAGAAGAAGTTTTGGGTATCCTGGAGTCTATAATGTATTGTGATGTTCCTCGAGGTTGTTGTTGTTAATTCTAGAGATGAAATTAGATACATGTATTTTGATTTGTCTCTTATAGAGATTGATAAGGTTGTATTTGTATTTACTAAAGAGTGTATTGTTGAGAACTGTGCTTGCAAGTCTTATTTTATGTTTGAAAGTTGTGAGAGTTTTGAATATTGTTTGTTGATATTTGTGCTCTGACAGTATTATGTCATTGAGGAAATATTCCAAACTTGGGATTAGAATGTGATTGAAGATGTATCTACTTTGTTTGTCTGTAATTTTCTTAGATTCAATTAGCTTTGTGATTTTGTTTGCTTTGGTTTTCATAAGTACAATTTGATATTGTTTATTGCCTTTGGTACAATACTATATCCCTAGTATTTTAACTAGGATAGTGGAGGTGAGGCCTTGAATAATTTGATTTTGAAGTATTGCTTCTTGATCTCTATCATATTGTGTGTCATTGATAATGAGAAGTGCTGATTTTGTTGGATTAATTTGAATATTATTTGGTTCATAGAATGATGTTGTAGTATTTAGGATATGTTGAAGTTCTTGATGATTGTTTGTGATCCATGTGGTGTCATCCATATAGGCACACATTGGGATGTTGATGGTTTTTAGGATCCATTCTTGTTTAATGTCATCACAAGTTTTGATTGTTATTGTATAATCTTTGTGTATAATTGTTATTCTAGATAGTAGTGAATTATAGAAGATTTGCTAAAGGCGTGATGAAATGGTGTCTCTTTGATCAATACCATCCTCTACTGAATATAGTTCAATAGGATCAAATAGAATAAAAACTGTATTATTGCAGGATGAGAGAAGGTTTATTATAATGTTTGTAATAGTTGTAGGAATTTTGATTCTTTCTAGATCCTTAATTAGCATTGTGATTAAAATTGAGTTGTAAGTTTTTTGCATGTCTTAATAAAGAATCCAGGCTTGTTGTAAGTTCAATTTTGTATGTTCTATAATGTTTTGAATAATGTGTATTGGTTCTTGGATGCTGGAGCCTGATAGTGTTGCCTAGTTGTTGTAGGATAGAATTTCATATTTAATAATAACTTTGACTAGTCTATTATTGATAAATTTTGTAAAAAAAAATTTCCTACTAGTTTCTAGAAGTGTAATTGGATAGGTCATTCTAAGATTGTTGTTCTATTCTTAAAGTTTGGAAATTGGAATTAGGTTTACTTGTTTTCAGTCATCGGGAATTATTTGTGTTTTGAGAATATTATTGCAAAGATCTGTAAAGAAAGAAATGGCTTTAGGACCTAGTTTCTTGTAGACGAAGTATGGAATTTTGATAAACCTGAGGATAATGTATTGCTTTTGATATAAATGATTTTAAGTATTTCTTCTTTAGTTATGGAATATGTTGTGAAATTGTATTACTTGTTATCACTGTTATATTTAAGTCTATATTCTTGTTCCTATTCTGGTCATTGGAAGATTGTTTGAATGTTTTTTTTTGCTATCCATAGGTAAAAATGTACTCTGACTGTATCTTTGATTTGGACTGGTTTGGTTATGATTCTTGGAATGGTGTCTTCTATTATAATTTGTTTAAGGTGATATGTCTATTTGTTTTTTTAAAATATTGATTATTGTTTGTTTGTTACTGCTTATAATATTATAGCCTCCTGGATATTGCTATTGTAATTCTTTGTTTTGTTTTATATTTGGTGATTATTTGGTGTACTGTTTTGAGTTTGATTAATATTGAGTTGAGTTCTTGAATCCAGTTATTGAGTTCTGTGTTCTGGGTAGTATTTATACTAATGGTTGGTAGTTTTGGTATTTGAGGAAAGATTGTTTAAAGAAAAGTTGTTCATTCTTATAATTTGGTTATATTGAAATTATAAGGTATATGTTTTGCATGTTTTGCTAATTGAAGAAGTTTGAGTATATTGATTATTTTGTTAAAAATTAGGAAAGGTGTGGTTTGGTTATAGGTGAATCTACTATGGTATTTAATCTTTTTAATAAATTTGTTTGCTGCTTTAGAATAATATCTTTAAAAGAATTTTATTGATTGTTGATTGTCCTGGATATAATTTTGTGCTTTGATTGCTTGTTGGAATTTCTACTAGTTTTTCTCTAAAGCATAAAGCCAATTATATCTGTATTGCTGTATATATATTTGAAGAGATGTTATTGTAAGTGCCATATTTCTAGATGGCAAATTGTAGCTTCATGGTTACTATTAATTAATGGTGCTGTGTTTTTGTCTATATAGGCTTCTATTAGGTTCCAAATTTCTTTTGCAAATATCCAGATTAGATTGATTCTGCTGTATTGGTTTTTGAGTTTTGCCAAGTAAATTCTTTAATATATGAGTTTATTGTTCTGAATGAGTCTATTAAGTTGTTTTCTTGAAGAAAGTTAATAAAATTGCTTGATGTTCTATTATTTGATTAATAATTAAGGAATTGTTTATACATAGAGGAATTAACTACTTCATTGAAATTTTCTCTGATTATTGTTGATCAGTGTACTTCTATAATGAGTTTTTAATATTTTTTATAAATAGATGTTTTGAGAATGTGGTTAAAGAGGGAAATATAGATGCCTATTATCTGACAAGTTTTTTTCTGGAAATGAGAAATCAAGTACAATCATTCTTTTAGGGATTTCTTAATGATGAAAAACTTTGATTGTGAGTTGTGGAGTTAGACTTATAGTGATACCTTGCCCAGTATATGTTGAGTTGTATATCCATCAGGTTTTGAATCTATTGGAGATCTAGTATTTGAATAATTGGAGATTGCTATTGATTTCTATAATGATTATTATGTCCTATTAGTTGCTATTGCAGTATTCGAACAATAGATTACATTTGTGTTCTACAGATAAGCCTCTGATATTTCTGAAGCAAATTTTCTATATTAGGGTAGTTTGGTTAAATTGTGAATTGTTAAGTTCTTGGATGTTATTATGTGTGGGTAAGTTATTGTTTGAAGATAAGTAGGTAAATATAAAAATTGTTAGTAATAAGGATTGAATTGAATAAATTGATAGATAAATGTTTGTTGATAATTGAGTGTTATGATTCATTGTTTTGATAGATCCTGAAGGTTTGTGATTTGCATAATAGTTAAATTTAATTGGATAAGTTGTTTATAGAATAAGGTTATTTGGGTGATTGAATTTTCTATGTTGTTTATTTGTTTGAAGAGTTTTTCTTGTTCAACTCTAATATCTTTTGCTGGGCTAGTTGCATGTCTTTTTCTGACTGTGCTTGAGATGGTGCTAAATGAGTCTTCAATATCTTAATTAATATTGGTGATTGTTTCTTGAAGATTTTCCTCAGGTAGATTATTATATAAATTATTTATTTCATTTTTCAAATTGTCAATTCCTTGATTGAGTATGTTGAGATTTTGTTTTAGTGATGGAACTTTGTTGTTGAGATGTTTAAGAATGTTATGGATATCTTTTAGTATAGAGTTTTCAATTAGAAGGAGTTGATTTGTATTGTGTAGTTCTGTTGGCTTTTGGTTGTCTTTTACTACTTATGCAAATAATCTTTTGAGGGATGGTTTGATTTTGGTTTTTGGAATGTCTACTAGTTTGAATCTTATATATAAATGACTGAATTTCTTAGTGTTGAGTTTTTTTTGTTCTGCTAATTGTTTTGACATATCCTTATAGAACAGTCTTTAAGGATATGGTCTGTGCTAGAGCAGATATTGCAGTTTTTTTCTGATAGTTCTGCCTATGCTAGTTTAGTGTTGTTTAAGAAAGTTTGGATATTTTTTGCTTGGAATAGAGTTTTTTCATCTTTGAAGCTGAGAACTGTAAATCTCTTTCTTCTGTAGTTGATAGTATATAGGATATAACAAATTTGTGCTTTTGTTGTTTGAATTATTTTTTTGAGTTCAAAACCTGTAGTATTTGAAGAAAGGTTAATGAGTTTAAGTATATAAATACTTCTTTCTTCTTTTATTTGATTCGTGTTAAGGAAAAGGGAAATTCTTATTAAGTCAGCTTTGAAAAAGATTGCTTACAGTTATTAATTTTGTCATAATCTTATTACTTGTGAAATTTGATATTATCTAATTGCTACATGCTGATTATTTGTATTTTAATTGATTTAATTTCACCAAATTTGAAGAATTTAGTATAGATATTTGCAAATATGGTGTTGAGAGATACTGTATATTCTATGCTCTAATTGTCTTATTTTTGGCTTCAATTCTATTATATACTGGTAATAATTGCATATAAATAGTTGTATCATCATCGAGTTTGATGTTTTTGGCTTTGTCTGTATTTGTTTCAGATCTAAACAGAGATGTGATATTGCTTCCTTCTTGGAATTTGTTGATTTTAATTGATGCGAATGATTCTAATATTGATACGAATTTTTGTAAAAGTTTAAGTTTACTGCCATTATCTTTGCTGAAAATCTCTGCTGTGGAGATGTGCATCTTGAATTATTTTCTGCTATATCAATAGACCAGTCAGTTAGTTTGTTATTTAAAAATAAGAATAAGTTTTATTGTTTAGAAGATTCGTTGGAAAAAGAAGAGAAGTTTTGAAGTGCTTGTACTTCCTCAAATCAGTTATTATTTAGGTTATTTGTGTTATTGAAGCTGTGTAAAGTGGATGGATTGCTTTTACTGTCTTTTTGATTGTTTAGAGATATTTCTATGCTTTAAGTGTTAACTGAGAAGTTCATTCTATTTTTATGTTTATAATGTATATGGTTGTTATTTGAAGAAGTGCTTGCTTTATTAGAATTGTATCTATCATTGTATAATGGTGTTAAGCTTCTCAGGTTCATTTTAAGAATATTTTTGAATAAAGTTTGTTGTTTATCAATCTCCATATTTCTTATGTTATTTGTTGTGTTTGATAAGTATTTGAAATTGTTTGACCTTGTGTTTGTGTTTTTGATCAAAATAGTTTTTAGTATCATGTTATAAGGAAAACTTGATACTTGGAAGTTTGTTTTTTGTGAAAAAAGAAAATTTTCAAAAATCTGATGTATACAGAAAAAAGTTTTTTTTTGTTGATTTCTAAGTGCATGTGTTTAAGAATAATATAGATGTCTTTGAGAATAAGATCTTTGATAGGTGGCATTTGTTGCATATTAGCAATATTCATATTGAAGTTAACTTTATTTTTTTCTTTGATAGTATCTATAAAAAAGATAGATATTTGTTGATAGTTAGATTGTCTATAAACTCTATTAGCTTTATTATTGATTTCTGAGAGTTTAAATCTTATATATAGGTGTTCAAATTTCTTTTTGTTAGTTTGTTTTTATTATGATACTATTGTATCTTATTTGAATTGGGTAGTCTTTGCTTAAATGTTTTATGCTGAAGCACTTTTCACTAGTTTTAATTGATAGAGAGACCAAAACTAGTTCTATATTATCAATTATTAGATTAAAGTTCTTTGCTCTTGTTAGTGTTTTTTCATTTTTAAAGCTTAGAAATATGTATTATTTCCTAATATATGTTGTGTTATTCTGAGAATAAAACATGTTTGTACTTTTGCCTTTCTTCTTTAATGTGTCTGATATTTAAAAAGAAAAATATTTTGATTAGATTACTTTAGAATGGGAATAATTATCTATTGCTGATAGCATTATATGTTTGTTGTTCATAAAATTTCACATTAGTTAATTGCCACATACCTGATATTTGTATTTTGATTAATTTAATATTATCAAATTTGGAGAGTGCTATATGAACATCATCTGTTGTTATATTAAGAGAGATATTCTATATCCTAATAGTCTTATTTTTTGTCTCAATATAATTATAAACGGGTATTAGCTGCATATGTATAGTTATATTTTTATTGATTTTGATGTTTTTAGCTTTTTCTGTCTTTTTCTGCCTCAAAAATAGCTACTATATTATTGATTTCTGCAGATTGTTTAGTTTAATTGATATGATTGATTCTAAATGAAATATACTGTAAATTTTCAAATAAGCTTGAGTTTGCTATTAATGTCTTTGCTACAAATTTTATTGGTTGGAATGTACATTTTGTATTATTTTCTACTATTTCTACTGTCCAGTCAGTAGGTTCTTGATTGTTGTTTTTATTTGAGTTGTTTTGTTTTGATTCAAGTGAAATTTGATTTTTTATTATTATAACTTTTTCAAACTAATTATTAATAAAGTATCAAAACCTCGTGATGTTTATAGAATACTGTTGTTGTTTTGTTATATATTTTCAATATTTATTTTAAAAGGAATTCTTCTGTTGTTCTTATTGTTGGGTGTACTGAAAATTGAACTATTTTTATTGTGTCAGCTAGTAGAACTAATATGATAAAGCCTGCAATTAATAAAACTTGATTCACACCCATTGAGTTTATAGATTCTTAATAATCAAGAATAGATTCTGAGCTTAAAGAATTGGAAATTTTGAAAGAAAAGTAAATCTTACACTGGTGGTATGCTTAAAAGCATGAGCAAATTTAAGTAATACAGATTATTGAAAAATCTTAGTGAAAAAGGAAACTCGTGTACCACACCAAAGTATCTAAAATCTCACAGTTTGATAACCAAACTATTTTATAAAAGTGATTTAAAAAAATAAAGAGAGCATCGTATATCCTAACTATATTATACTAATATTAGATATAGGATAAATACATATATACCATATAATATAATTATCTACTTATCATAAATAGCTTATATAGTTTACATTGAATTATACTGTATATCTGCATATAAAAGCTAAAACATCATGGATGCTTTTATTGATCAAGAAACAGGCCGCTCAATCAACAGTAATCATACTGAAACTATTTACCAAGTAGAAGCATGGCAATTTACAATACCCAAATATCAAATACATTACAAAAAGAATACCAAATTTAATTGACAACAAATATCAGAAAAGAACTGGACCAAATTTCAACAAGAAATTGAAAATCGCATCCAACAACATGGATCACAAAAAACTTCCATAGATAACCAATAGAATCTTATCAGAGACTTAATTTTGAAAGCAGCTCACAAATTCATCAAGAAAATTAAACACAACAAGAGATCTAATCGTATGACATCCAACTCATATATCTTATCACAACATATCTTCCGTCTTTAACAACTTATACAATTAGGAAATTCATTATTAAAATTTTCTAACAACTATACAATCAAAATCCTAAAAAATTATTATGACATGATACTATTAAAACATATTGATCTCCTTGAACTACCACAATACATAACAGAAGACAACCTTTAAGCATTAGAACAATGGATTACACAGATCAAACATTGTCTTATACAATAAAAAACAACTCTTCAAATCTTAAACAATTACAAAACATGTCAAAAAATTAGAAAAGTGATAGACAAAAAATTGGAATTTATGTCATTCAACAAAAAAGCAATAATTAACTTGATTCTAGACAAGCCATAAAATTAAATCTTTATTGACAGAATAATCATACACATTCCTCAAACTAACATAATCACAGATCCTAATATAACTAAAGAAACTGTCAAAGATTATTTTTATCAATAGACAAAGAGACAAAATACACAAGACATTAACCAATAGTCCAAATAGCAAGATAAATATCTTCATTAACCTCATATTAAAGAAAATTAGTACACTTTACTTTTAAAACCATTTAATACAAGTAAAATTCAACAAGCAATCAAATTTAGAGAAAATGCTTCTTCTCTAGAATCTTCTCAAATTTCATATTGTGCATTCAAACATCTGAGTTCCAGTATAATAAAATACATAATAATACTATTCAATAACATATTGAACAATCAAAAGGTTTCAAAAGAATGGTGTGAAGGCTCAATTTACTCCATTCTTAAACCTTAATTATGGAATAATAATCTCAATATAACAAGATCTATTATACTTCTAGAAACAGATAGAAAAATATTTATCAAATGTATCAATGATCACTTATCCCATATACCATAATAGCATTCAATTCTATTAATACTTAATTGGGTTACTTTACCTGACTGCAGTATACAAAAACCAGTTCATATTTTACAAAATATAATAAAACATGCCAACAAAACTCTCAATAAGCTTGGATCCTTAGTCAAGATATAAGCAAAGCTTACGACTCAATTTCTTTATATATACTTGATAAGGCACTCAAAAGAATCAAGATGTAAAATATCTAATATTAGAAAGTTATTTCATCATCATGTATCTTAGTTAAAGAAAAACTTTATTAAATGTAAACTAGGAGCAGACAACTCTGAGTTGTTAGTAAAAGAAAAAGACAGTTGTTAAATACATATTTTTTCAATATAAATAAATATAATAAAAATACATAAACTAATATAAATAAAATAAAGAATAATATAATAAAGACAATCATAATAAAACACAACTATTACTATAAATCTATTGGTGTTTGCCTATATACTATTAGTAATTTGGGTCTCACGTCACCTTGGAGCTTCGGAATTAGTGGTCAGGTAATGTGATCTGAAATATCATGTGTTCTAGCAAATTATTAGTGTTTTATAGCCAAAGGTCTAAATCCTTGATTTTCTTGAAATCCTATTTAATAATATCTTTTTGGCCTTTAAGAAAAGATATTCATTTATCAAATATTCATAGTTTCCTAGGACTATTTCTATAGTTGTCATCTGACTTTCAGGTATAAAGTCATGCTTTCATCAGATGACTTAGATAAACTTGTTATACAAGATTTCTAATACAATAATCAATACCTTACTTGATCTATTCAATGGTCATTTTAATATAATCTTAACACCCTTCGACTCCATCAATCCATACCCAATAGAAAATGCAATTTCTCTTTTACTTTGAAGAATCTTCTATGATTCACTTCTTGCTAGAATTTTCAACACATGTAATGGATACACCATTACAATCAAATTCTATTCTAATATTTGACAAAACTAGAAGATTAAACAAATAAATATTACAGCTAGTACATATATAGATGATACAACTTGGTTTGCAAATACTCAACAAGACCTCCAACATATAATAAATAAAGCACAAATATTCTTTAAAATCAATGATATCCAATCAAATCAACCCTTATTATCATCAATAGTACTTAACAAGATAAAGATATAGGAATTACACTTAATGATCAATTAATTCAAAGATTACTATCAACAGTTTCAATCAAAATTATAGGAATATTGCAATACTCTAAAGGCAATAAGAAGTAGCAAATACAACAATACATGAAAAAGTCAACAAAATTTTTAACCTAATGAAGTTTAAAAAAGTGACAGACAAGCAAACAAGATACATTATCAACCATATATTGATTCCTGGATTGGAATATCTACCAACAGACATGGTATTGTCAGAGTTAATATGTAACAAAATTATATCCCAAACTTATAAAATATTCAAATACAAGGTAGGACTAGCCTCTACTGTTCCCAACAATGTATTATTCAACAAGTATAAATACAACATAACCAGTCTCTTTGAAAGACAAGCTCAGTTTCATGCAGCAAACCTAATAACTAGAATCAACAGTAACAATCTTGTAGGACAAACAACTCTTTTTCAATTACAAGATATGCAAAACCTGGTACTAATCTTATGCATGACATCATCTAAATGCTCAAAAAATTGGAAATAGAATTTCAAATTCCTTCATTCATAATTACTATTCCATCCATTGAAAAAACCCTAAAACACCATCTTGGTATCAAATAGAACAACAATATCAGACACAAACTGCAGAAATATAATATTATCTTCTTGTTTCAAATACTTAATAAAGATTGCATCAAGATACTTACTGTAGGTGATACCAAATCCCTAGAAATC